ACTGATGCCTCCTGGATTAAAAACACCTAGACAGAAATATATAAACAAATACAAGAAGAACAAATACACGAAGAAGAGAACTAGAAAATATGATGGAAAAGATGGGAAGGAAATGGGTTAAGCTGGACATGATGGATAAGGAAGGAAAGGAGGCCAGCCGAGAGCATCACACACAGCATGAACTTCGTAGCTCCAGCAATGATCCTTAGCGATCTTCGTTAAAAACTCTGCTTATGAGCCAAATAAAGAAGCCCATGAATAGAGCCCATGGCATTCCTGTGCGGGTTCCAAGACCCCACTGTGATGTGGAAGGGGGGGGGGGGGAAGGACACAACAGACCCACTGCCTCCTAATGAACATGTTGTAAAAGGCCACTATTTGTCAGTGTTTCCAATAAAGTCAGAGGTTATCTGCCTGAGAGGCAAGAAAGGGTTTCCAACAGTCTGCACACAAATGCGTCAAATCTGTAAACTGGATGTGCATGCAAAACTCAGGTTCTGGGACAGGACCAGAGTCTAAAGGTGAATGAACAACCAGAATTTTCCTGTTGACTGTAATATGCACACAGGTATTTTACATCACTGTTTGATGCAGGTAGGTTATACACAGGTATTTTACATCACTGTTTCATGCAGATAAATTATATAAAAGTATTTTACATCAATGCTGTTTCATGCAGATAAATTATATAAAGGTATTTTACATCAATGCTGTTTCACCCATTTAAGTTATTCAGATATTTTACATCATTGTTCTTTGATGCAGGTGGGTTTTACACAGGTATTTTACATCACTGCTCTTTAATGTTGGTAGGTTTTACACAGGTATTTTACATCACTGTTCTTTAATGCAGGTAGGTTTTACAGGGAGTCATGGTACCATAGCAGCTAGATGCCCATCGGTCAGCCTAAAGGTCTTGGCTTTGAATCCCAGTCAGGACTGACCTGGCTCCCAGACTGACCCAGCAAAAAAGGGTTTCAGGTAATGTCCTGGGAAATCAACGTGGCCAATGTGACAATGACCACACCACCCATTGTGTGCCATTTGAGTCTACAGTTGTAAGCCTGAAGCAGTTATAACATAAAAAGGGCGCTTTACTGTTATTGTAGTTACTATACTGATTCAAAACTTATGCCCTCACGTTTGAAAACTCCAGTGCGGAAAAACACAAATTTTTACAGATGACCTTAGATTTGCCATATCCTTATGATTCTATAATTTACAATTGCACAGGTGCTGCTGTTCTCTTGAAGTGGTGAATTCCTTTGATCTTTGTATCACTAATAATTGCTGTACCACTAAAAATAGATACAGTAACTGACACACATGTGGAGACTGTTTGAAAATGAGTTCACATATGCAGTGATCCTTGAAGATTATTTTCATAGCCTATCCCCCACTCAATGAAAAAATTAGCAACCCATGGGAGACTAATGCTTTAGATGACCACCTGAGAGTGAAATGCCCATGAAATGCGAGCAATTTGATGTTTAGAAACATTCCCTTACACAATATACTCAGCTGATTGTTTGTTTTAAATGGGTGTCTGTTTTTCCAGAAACAGCAAATCAAGTGAAATGAAAACTAGACTTTGTTTCATCATCACCTTCAAGTGCCCTCCAACTGGGGTAGGCGCTCATGCATCTCCACAGATCACAATCCCTTGTTGCCTGGAACAGCTCTCTTGATGATATACCTCCATCAATTGTTTCAGCCCATCCAGCATCATCTCTCTTTTTCTGCCTCCACCCCTTTTTTCCACTGATCTTTCCAGTTGTCATGATGTTCTCAAATGTCTCTCTTCTCATTTCGTGGCCAAAGAAAACTGTTTGTCTCTTTCTTATAGACTTTGTTTACATTAAACAAATAATCTGACAAGGACATGATAATTAACTGGTTGCCAAATCTCAACAACTTACAGCAAATGACAAATCTCAACAACTTACAGCAAATGCCAAATTTCAACAACTTAAAGCAAATGCCAAATTTCAACAACTTAAAGCAAATGCCAAATTTCAACAACTCACAGCAAATGCCAAATCTCAACAACTTAAAGCAAATGACAAATCTCAACAACTTAGAGCAAATGCCAAATTTCAACAACTTAAAGCAAATGCCAAATTTCAACAACTTACAGCAAATGCCAAATTTCAACAACTTAAAGCAAATGCCAAATTTCAACAACTTAAAGCAAATGCCAAATTTCAACAACTCACAGCAAATGGGGAATTTCAACAACTTACAGCAAATGCCAAATTTCAACTCACAGCAAATGCCCAATTTCAACAACTTACAGCAAATGACAAATGTCAACAACTCACAGCAAATGCCAAATTTCAACAACTCACAGCAAACAGTTACTAAGTTACAGATTTGTATAGGTTTGGCAGGACTTCTGGAATGGACAGAGACATAACAAAGGTAAGTCCTACAATGCTTACCTTGTCCAGGTGCCCCAGATCTAACAACAGGTAGACTGGTGGGCTGTAGAGGAACTGGTGTCAAATTTCCTGAACCTGTCCCTGGTGGCTGGATAGGATTAATGACATATATATGTCAATTTTACAACGTACTTTAAAAAAATGGCTTCATATAATACAAGGACCCTTTCCACACCTTCAAGCGTACTGGTCAGATAGGACTAGACCTGTGATGTGGTCAATACAATGTGGTCATCACAATGATGTTGTCAATACAATGTGGTCATCACAATGATGTGGTCAATACAATGTGGTCATCACAATGATGTGGTCAATACAATGTGGTCATCACAATGATGTGGTCAATACAATGTGGTCATCATAATGATGTGGTCAATACAATACAAGCTGCTTTTACTTACCAGGACTTTACCTGGTACTCATTCACACTGATCTGGGAAAAAAGTCTAGCTCCCTCTGGACCCCAATTGATGACATTTGGATTCGCAGGCGAGAGTCCAGCCGCTACGCCGCGGTGACCCCCATATATCAACAGATACAAAGATATCTTTCAGTTAAACAACATACTTCAAAGATCAACAGAAACAATCTGTCACTGCAGTCGTTCCCATCAATCAGAACTTTCTGCTTGAGTTGACGGGTGAATGTGAGGAAGAAGAAGAGGAGGATGAAGAGAACCAGAGGTGACCAACATGATGCTGATCCCACTAACCAACCAGCGCAGCTTAGTCTATATAAACAGGCCTGATGCACTCAAGGCATGACAAGAGTCCTTTAGCTTCTTTTACTTATGATAAAAGTAATGCTGATGAAAGTAAGGCTGGTGAAAGTAATATTGTCAAATTAATGCTGGTGAAAGTAATGCTGGCCAAAATAATGCTAGTGAAAGTGATGCTGATGAAAGTAATGCTGTTGAAAGTAAGGCTGGTGAAAGTAAAGCTGTTGAAAGTAAGGCTGGTGAAAGTAAGGCTGTTGAAAGTAATGCTGGTAAAAGTAATGCTGGTAAAAGTAATGCTGGTAAAAGTAATGCTGGTAAAAGTAATGCCGGTAAAAGTGATACTGGTGAAAGTAATGCTGGTGAAAGTAAGGCTGTTGAAAGTGATGCTGATAAAAGTAATGCCAGTGAAAGTAATGCTGATTAAAGTAATGCTAGTGAAACTGATGCTGGTGAAACTGATGCCTGTGAAAGTAATGCCGGTGAAAGTAATGCCGGTGAAAGTAATGCCAGTGAAAGTAATGCTGGTGAAAGTAATGCTAGTGAAAGTAATGCTGGTGAAAGTAATGTTGGTGATAGCCACATTGAGCAGTGGTGATTACGATAATGAGCAGGAGAAGGATGAGGATGGCAGCTGTGACGATGAAGCTTTATCTAAAATCAAAACTGTGAAGTCTACCTGCTGTGAAGACCCATGACCAGGTAATACTTGAGAAGTGTATGGTCCCATAGGTTGTGGGTGCTGCTGATGCGGCTGCATCACTGGTTGCAGCTGTGGCTGAAAGCCCTGTGGTTGCAATGAGGCCCCGCCTGCTTGCAGGGGGAACCCTGCCTGTGGCTGCTGCGAATAAGGGAATTGCTGGGCCGGCAACTGCTGTTGAGTTTGTCCCTGGGGGAAAACCTGTTGCAGTGGTTGTCCTTGGGCTGCAGGCTGCCCTTTGATCAGAAGCTGTTGTGATGGCTGTCCTTGGGACAGAAACTGCTGGGGAATTCCTTGGGTGTGGAACTGTTGGGGATGTTGTCCTTGGGTGTGGAAATTCTGTGGGGGCTGACCCAGGAAAGGCTGTTGTAGTGGCTGACCTTGGTAAGGTTGTTGTGGGGGTTGACCCTGGACTAGCTGCTGTGGGGGCTGACCTTGGAAAGGTTGTTGTGGGGGTTGACCCTGGACTAGCTGCTGTTGGGGCTGACCTTGGAAAGGTTGTTGTGGGGGTTGACCTTGGAAAGGCTGTTGTTGGGGTTGACCTTGGAAAGGCTGCTGTGGAGGTTGACCTTGGACTAGCTGTTGCGGGATCTGACCTTGGAAAGGCTGTTGTGAGGGTTGACCTTTGACTAGCTGTTGCGGGATCTGACCTTGGAAAGGCTGTTGTGGAGGTTGCCCAGAAACGAGCTGTTGTGAGGGTTGACCCTGACCCTGTAGATGTAGCTGGTTCGGCATCTGTCCTGAATGGTAATATGGCTGAACGCCTGGTACTGCCCCCTGAGAAGGTAAGGGACCTTGGACAGGATTTCCTTGTGGCTGCATGTGTATTCCCTGAACTTGACCTGGCATTTGATGCCCTGGAGCCTGACCTTGCACCTGAGGTCCTTGAACTTGACCCTGCATTTGATGCTCTGGAATTTGACCGTGCATCTGCTGTCCTTGAATCAGGCCTTGCATGTGAGGCTCTTGAATGTGAGCTTGAGAACCAGGTACTGGAGTCTGAATTTGTCCCTGGGCCTCAGTGTCAGGGACTTGTGCCTGTGTGTGGGACCCGAGTTGAATCTTGCATCTTTGATCCCTGAAAGAAAGGCCCCTGGCCTAGATGCTGATAGCTCTGACCGCTACTCTGACTATGGCTGAAGACAATTCGGGTACTGGCTTGCTGCTGAGCTGAGGTGGACAGTGGTTGGCTGGCTGGTTGGGTCGTACATGTTTGCCTTGGATGTGAAAGTCCCAAAGGTCTGGGCATTTTGATAACTTTGAGAGATGCTGTGCTGGTAACCACCAACATATGGCTGCGATGGATGGTAGGCGGTGGCTTCTGTGTTCTGGTAAATTTGCTGACTAGGGTATGCATGGTCTGCCACAAACGGCCCTTGGTGCTGACCTTTGGCATAAAGATACCCCAAACTGGTTGCTGGGATACTGTCCTGTTCCTGAGCTAGTTGGGCAGTTTTAGAAGGGCTCTGATGCGGTGAATAAGTCCTGTAAGGTGCTACACCCGTTTGGTTTGCATCACTCAGAGCTGAACCAGGTCCCTTTGACTGCAAATTCAAGTAATGATTTCCCATGACAGATGACTGGCCGCCTGCTAAACTGGTTAACTGAGAGGGTCCTTCAACACCTATGCCTGCTGTCCCAACTCCCTGAGATGCTGGGAATCCACCAAGTTGATGGTGGCCTGTGTTAGGAAGGTAGGGACTAGCTCCAGGTTGATTTGGGCCTAGTGGAAGCTGATACTGCTGGGGTGCTACATTCTGCTGCTGCTGTTGCTGCTGCTGCTGCTGATTATGAGGCTGACCAGGCTGTGTTGAGGCTACAGACACCATCTCAGGTTTAGTCTGAGTCTGACTCACATGAGCCTGTCGGGGATTCAAACCGATACCAGCCTGGCCTGGAAGCTGATTCTGAGGCCAATTCTGCTGTGGCAGTTGAGGCATCTGTTTAGACAGTGGCTGTGTTGCGGGATCATAAGCTTGTGGCAGTGGTGAAGTGGCTTCTCTCATGTCTTGCTGACTCAGTGGTACAGATATGTGCCCTGGTTGTGGCAGATAAGGCTGCTGCTGCTGAGGGTGTGGCTGATGCAGAGATGGAATGTTTGATGGCTGCAGTGGGAACTGCTGTGACTGCATTATTGGATGCTGCTGGAAAGCTACGTGGTTTTTGGATTCCTGACCTGGAGAGAATATGGGCTGACTAGCTGCTGACACAGTGCAGGTATCGGCATGCTTGGACATGCCTGGGTATTGCTGGTGGGTCCCAAGACCCGGGAAGTACCCGTACTGCCCATATGGCTGCTGATTCTGTGGTCCATCTGATGCAGCAGATGCTCCAGGAGTAAAATATGACAAGGTGTTTGATGGTATCGGAGTAAATGTGTTTGAGTGTGGATCAGCATGGCTCTGTTCAGTGTAAGGAACTTGTGAGTGGTAATATGCCTGAGATGCTGGTGCCTGTGAAATATGGGCACCCACAGGTACTTGGTTAAAATGAACTGCAGAAGATGCTGGCAGCATGGGCTGAGCATGGATCCCAGGCTGTGAAACCTGCATGGCAGTCGAGGTCAGAGGTGATGGGGAATGTCTGGGTGGGGTGCCAGTTGAGCCTCGTTGAGGTGAGGTGGAATGCCTTGCACCACCTGCGACTGAGGATCCTGCCGATGAGACTGATGACAGATACTGCGCTATTGTTGCAGGCAGCACTGACACTAAACTAGGATCCAAGCCAGGGTACCTGGGTGACGCACTCACATCACCAGAATCAAACTGTGGCATATCTGCAGTAGAGGAACCAGGCATTGTGGGCATATCATGTGTTGGTGCTACCCCAGCAGAAGCTTTAGGGCCAAAGCTTCTGGGTTTCATGAATGGCAGGTAATCTTTCAGTTTAGGGCCTTCAAATCTGGGGGGAAGGTTCTGGAACTGAGACGGCTGTCCAGGCTGAATGGTCATGGATGGCGAAATAAATTCTTCACTTGAAAGAGCTGTCCCGGCACTGGCAGCATCCAGGGGCAACGCTGTAATTCCATCATTATTTAACTCTGGTTTCGGTGCTGTTGGCCGAGAAGGAGCAGGTGCTGACAAAAAATTATGAAACTAAACATCCATCTTCGATATTGTCATCAAAAATTTCATTTCAAAATTAAATTAATAGTGTACTTTCAAAGCAATATTTCCCAATTGTAAAGCTGAACAAAGTTGCCACCAATTACAGATTGCCCAAATTATTGCCGGCATATTTCGTTGTGGCATATTTCGTTCTATCTCTTCAAGTGCACATTAAAGTAACTCTGACTACTTTTTAAAAAAAGATTAGGCATCCATTGTTCTTTATATGTAGACTAAATGTAGACTTCTTTTATTTTAATGAAGCGCCCACAATAAAACTCTGTCCAGATTTGTGCAGACAAAAAAAAAACATGGACATGAACCTGAATTTACCTCAGCAAAACAAGGAGTCATTTTTGGTGTAATATATTTTTTAAATCAAACTTTGTTCAAGTAAGCATTATTTTTGTTAAACACATTTTAAGAAAATATTGGATAATTTATAATCCAACTATGATTTAACATTTCTCAGATCACATAAACCAACAAAGAAGAGAATAATCAAATGAATCAGAAAGCCCCCAAAAACCGGCACAAGTCGATTACCATTTTATGGACAGACTAGAGCAAGTTATTATTCTACGCCTTAGAACAGGACACAATCGACTTCGCAGCCACATGTATATAAAATTTAAAATCGGCGATTCAGCCATGTGCACATGTGGACTGGCACCTGAGACAACAGATCATGTCCTCCAAGACTGTACCAAATACAACATATCGAGGCAAAACTTTTGGCCAAGAGAAAGATCGGTGCAAGTCAATTTTTACGGGGTGCTGAGTGAATTACACAAGACAGTAAAGTTCATTCTAGAGACAATATTGCAGATACAGATAATCTATTTCAAGCGAACGAAAGAAGAAGACATAAACCAACAGGTCAATTTATAATCACACAAAAATTAAACACATAGCTGATTATGTCCCAGATAAAGATGGAGGAATATATCATTCTGAAATAATTAACATTGGTAATCTATAAACTCTTTCAGGCCCGAGCAACAATGTGTTTCTTGATTCAGAAGCTACGATTTGACAAAACCACAGAGTCTGCATTGATTGTGTGTCCCATACATAGTGATTCACATACTGTTCCATATTCGCTTTCAATGTTTGGAACTACCAGTAAAATATTCAGGGAAGGTTACTCGAATGTTTTTATTTTGTTTGCAAGTTTTTGTTTATACATTTAGGCACAAATTGATACCATTTATTGCTAGCGTCATTTTCAGACAGCGAATTTTCTGATTTCATCTTCGAATGACCATGGATACTAATGTTCTGAACACAAGCACAAATGCACCTTTCTGCGGCTGAAGTTCGGAAATTGTTTCAGTTAGAAGTTTTCAATTCTGCTAATGATAGTGAAAACTTAAATTTTCCGGAAAGTGATTCCAGTGGTAATTTATGCCAGCAGCAGCTGAACGGTCAGCTTTTGGAGAATCTAGTAGTTCTTAGTTAGTTAGTTAGTTAGTTAGTTGGGTTATCCTCATTGCACTCCGGACATGTCCATAGGTGCTCAGATCCTCCCCTCAGTATGAACCCCAACGTCCGATGGCTAATAGTACCAGTTCTATGTTGATTAACAAGTCTTCTGGCGTAGCTGGTGTGCGTCTCGTTTTTTGCTGTGTCGATCTTAATTCCCAAGTCTGCCATTCTGGCGAGTGATGTGGATTCACTGCCACCAAAGTCCTCTATCCTTCCCATTTCTCTGAGGGCATTGATAATATCAGCATGATCCATAGGCTGACCGTCGGTAGTGATAGCGGATCCAGCCAACCTGTCAGCTCTTTCATTTCCATCGAGGCCTGCGTGTCCCGGAACAAAAATAAAGGTGACTCCACGAACAGTGGACTTCTGTAATGATTCAAGCCATTGTCTTCGCACTGAACCTGCCTGAACCCTCCGGATCATACTCTTTGAATCACTGAGTATACACACGCGGGTGTATTTTTGTGTTTCAAGCCAGGCAAGCGCTTGTGTCACTGCCATCACCTCCATCGTCATGCTGCTGGTTGTCATGGAGAAGGCGCCGTTGGCTTCTTTGACTGTTCTGCCCGCTGAGCGTGCTGTAAATGCCCATGCGCTTCTTCTTTGGCGCATAACGGATCCGTCTGTATAGATTATTGCATCTGCTTCGTCTGAATTTTCACCGATGAGAGCGTTGACCTCTGCATTAACAGCAACAGGATTCTCTTCTCTGCATCGCCTGTTGAGTGTGACAATACAGGAAAATGTACAAATAAACGCCTGAGGCACAGGTATCCATTCTGCACCAGGTATGATGTCGGTTAGGCTGCATATTTGCCTAATAACATCTTCTGCCCGACCTAGCCTCGATTTCCCCCTCTTCAGTCTGTCGCCCTTTTCACTAAAAAGCGCTTGATGCAGTGGGTGTTTCTTATCAGCACATATTTTGAGATATGCCCGAGCCCTCCACATCCTGATTCTTTGGTTTATTGTTGGAAAGTCAATTAGATACCTCATTGCTCCACAGGATGTGTCTCTAGTACATCCCAAAATAATGCGCATGGCTTCATTTTGCACCTTTTCGAGTCGTTCAATCTGGGTAGCACTGACAGTGAGGATGGCCAGAGCGTATTCAATGGGGGAAAGGACCAGACCGTAGAATAGAAGTATTAGTAGTCTTTGCTCAATATTGGAAGCAGCCATAATCCTCATTGCAGATAGACCTTTGCGTGCTTTTGTTATCACATGGTCAACGTGTTCCCTAAATGACAAGCTGCGATCGAACCTCACCCCGAGAAACGTCATAACGTTGGTTCTGATCAATACATTATCACGCATTTTCACTTCTGGTAAGTCCGACTTGACAATGTGATTGTTCAAAGAGAACCATGACACTGATGCCTTCGAAGGATTGACATAGGCATTGGAACCATCACACCAGGCGGCAATTCGATCGAGTTCTTTGTGCATAGTGCTGGCGATCTCCTGTCTATCACGCCCTCGTCGATAAATCAAAATGTCATCAGCAAATGACAAAGTCCTTCCCGTTCCATTCAACTGCTGCTCAGTGATCATCACCGTATAAACGTTGAATAAGACTGGTGATAGCGGTGATCCCTGTGGCAAGCCTGGACATATCGTTTGCGGTTCTGAGGACCAGCTACCACATTTTAGTACAATCTTTCTCTGGAACAGGACCGCAGCAATCCAGCGGATCAGAATAGGATTAACTTCTAGTTTAAGCAGTAATTGCATTAAATAATCGTATGGTACTTTATTGTAGGCATCTTCTAAGTCCAACACTGCCGCACATGTCTCTTCTTTAATCTGAAATCCCTCGTACACATCGTAGGCGAAAACTGCAGCATTGAACCATGTCTCTTTATTTAACCTGTACCCTCCAAGTGTTGGTGGGAACTTATCATGTAGTTCCAAGTAGGTGGTCAATCTTTGTGCGACAATTTTTTCCACAAGTTTGCCAACAGTATTCTGCATCGAGATGATTCTGTAGCCGCAGATCTTCGAGTGGTCTTTATTAGGCTTTGGTAGTGGGAACAAATAACTATGGAGCCATTCCTCTTGTATCTGGCCACTCTGGATGCTGATATTGAATTCCTTTGCCACGCTTTTTAAATCAGCATTCGACATCATCAGCATGTTGTTGTATCAGATGCCGTCAGGGCCTGGAGCAGTGCTGCGCAATTTCTTGAGGCAAGTTATTAAGGTATCTGCAGTGATTGTGAGATCAGTGCCTAGCACAGTGTTCTCGCACAGCATCGACAGTTTCATCCTAACCCTTATTCTTGTAGCTTCGTCTGTTTGGTCAGTTTGCTCCAAGTAGCGCGCCAGAAGGGTTTTTCCTTTATCAGCATCAGTTCTCTGCCATATCAGGTCTGTACCCTGAAAATCAGGGATACCCCTTGGTCGTGCGGCGCCGTGCATGCTCCGTTGAAGGCGCCAGAATGTCACAAGAGATCCCTCGGAGCAAACGCTCTTGCAGAATTCGTTCCATTTCGCTGTCTTAGCTTCCTTCGCAATTAACTTGAAAGCCACTGTCTGCTTGTTGACCTCATCTTTCAGACTGATCAGGCGTTCAGAAAGTGACGGATCAATTTTCCTTGCCTTTTGCGATGCCTTGACAGCTTTCCTTTTTTCTAGCCACGCCATGTTGACTACTTCATTCCACCATGGTGGCTGGGCCCATCTCTCCTGCCGTCTGCGATCTGCTCTTGTTTTACGTCGTCGGATTTTGCTAATGGCATCTTGCCCTGTACGGTCATATATGAACGCAGGCACATTGATTACATGACCTTTGTTGTTGCTCTTCTCTACCAGGACGACGCAAGGAAAGTGATCACTGTCGTGGTATCCCAGTGTGCTCCACCTGCATCCTGATGCAATGGAGGGAGACACTAGGGCCAGGTCAATTACGCTGTCAGAATCCCCTTGTCGTGTTGCCATTCAGGTAACCGTTCTGTCGTTCAAGCATACTAGATTGGCAGACACTAGGGCATCCTCCAGGTCTTCCCCCTGTTTATTAGTGATTACATTGCCCCACTGGTGTCCTCTGGCGTTGAAATCGCCGCAGTAAATGACTTTCTTTTCCTCCGTCTGGAGCAAACTCTGCCATTTCGCTGTATCCACCTTTCCATTGCAGGCGTACACATTGACAATCACAAACTGGGCCGGGCCCATCACTCTGACTGCGTGTACTTTTAAGTCGTCATTATTCCACTTAGACATGTCCACCTCAGACACCAGTATGTGGTCACGAACAAGAATGAGCTGTCCGAGGTGCCGTCTATTGTAGAAGGATTGGAAGCCCGCAATTTTAACGATCTCGTCACCAAGGTGTGTTTCCTGTAGGACAACAATTCGTTGCTGTAGAGGAGCTTCTCAAAATGGGTCGGCGTTGACTAAACGAAGCGCAGTTTCCAGTAGAGAACACGAACATACTTTAAACTGAGTCTCTCACATTTCAGTCGCTTCCTGCAGGCGCCACCGTGCTTGCCTGTTCGCGTTTCCTTGTCCGTCTACGGGTTGTTTTGAATTGGTAAATAGTCGCCATCGGACGTCGAATACACCCTGAGGGAAGTCTAAACTCACATGCATGTACTCCATTGCACGGTTCAGACCCCATCCCGATGAAACTTTCACATTATACGTGAGCGAAAATAGCTAATTTGCGCCATTCGCCTCAACGGACGAAAAAGCGTACCGCCATTGTGGCTGTTTACACCGGAAGTCCCATCTAGTAGTTCTGATGCGGTAAACCCCGGAGGACCCATTTTATTTGCGAAGGATGTGATGGTCAACCACATTTGCATCTAAAGGACTATTTCAAACAGTACCATACTATGGCATGCTGCACTGAAATCATTGCAGCTAAAGTCTGTTTATAACTATACAAAGTCAAAATTTTGTGTGTGGTGGTCTGTTTTTTAGCCTTATTTCTTTAATATGTTGTTCAGCACTCTATGAGAACTTAGAGCCTGAGTGACAAACTAACCCAGTAACTTTTCATAACTTTTGAATTTGTTAAGAAACTGAACAGACTTTAAAGTGTTTTTCTCAAATTTGAACATTTACTGCCCTTGTGGCTGCAAAACCATGGTACATAAAGAATTTGTATGTAAAACTTTGTCCTTGTATTAAACAAATACATATCATCAGATTTAAAATGTACATTTATTCCTCTTTAACCAAATATCTACTTTTGTATGGATTAGAAATACATTACATTCTCAACTGTCTAATTGTTTTTTTTAAACTACACCACCTCTGTCATTTTTGCAAAGTCAAAATCACAGGCCTGAAAGAGTTACAATTAAATAAACAGAAATAACATACAATAATTTAATTCATGTTCAATTAAATAAACAAACAAATGTATTATCCTACAATAATTAAATATAGCTAGGATTACTTAAGCAGAGAACTGTTTAATTCTACAACAGCTGAATACGGATAAGATTACATAACCAGAGAACTAGTTAATTCTACAACAGCTGAATACGGATAAGATTACATAACCAGAGAACTGTTTAATTCTACAACAGCTGAATACGGATAAGATTACAAAAGCAGAGAACTGTTTAATTCTACAACAGCTGAATATGGATAAGATTACATAACCAGAGAACTGTTTAATTCTACAACAGCTGAATAAGGATAAGATTACATAACCAGAGAACTGTTTAATTCTACAACAGCCGAATACGGATCAGATTACATAACAAGAGAAATGTATAATTCGAAACAATTATTAATCATGAATAACATTACACAGATAAATTTATAGTCCTAAAAAATTGAACACAGATACAGACAACAGTATATGAAAATGTGAACTGATAATCTATATTTTGAATAAATACTGAAAGAAATATTAACTCACTTTTCGGCACTAGTTTAGTAGCCAGCATGTCTCGCTCTTCCTGCCGAACCTTGCACTCACTGCGGCATCGTTCAAGAGTCTTTGTCACGTCCTGAAGAAGCTTCTTATAGTACTCAACTCCTTTCTGTGACTTGGCCAGAAGTTCTTCATACTTCTCATAAGACAATATCAGCTCTTGTACAACTTTCTCTCTCCTAATTTGTAAAAAAAAAAAAAAAGTTATCATTAATGCTACTATCATCAAGTGCCTTGCTGACTAGTGTAGGTGACTGTGCCTCTGTAAGGAATTATTTGCTTACCTAGTGTTGGCCTCATTATATGCCTGCCTGATGAGGGCATACTTGGCATTTGTGTCCGTCAGATGTTGCAGGATATTGTCTTGGGATACCAGGTTCTGCCGGATGTAGCCCACAATCTGGTCATGCTTCTTCAGCTGCTCCGTAAACACAGACTGAAAGAAATCCACAGATTATTTGGTCAACACAAGAGCAACTTGCAAATCTGTTCTAGTGCTGTGATCAGGCTAGTGGGGTGATACAAGTAACTGCTTAGAACTGGGTACTGTTATATGTAGGGCATATGGTGCTAAATCCCATATCTGTACAGGCCAAACAACACACTTGTGGTCAATATCATGGGAGTGATCCTAATTTCCCAGATTATTTTAGGATGGACTGACTTGGGAGACAAGGCAAATGGTACCCCTTCCTAACTGAAAGCCGATATTTGTGCTCTGTCATCTGTGCAAATAAATCTCCAAGCAGCCTATTCCAGGGCTTCATGGCTATGACCAGTCCATCTTTTGCCTATTGTTAAGCTTTGTATTGAATGTACCTGTGCAGTGTTTAGAAGGGCTGGAAAGGCCTATTGTTAAGCTTTGTACTGAATGTACCTGTGCAGTGTTTAGAAGGGCTGGAAGGCCTATTGTTAAGCTTTGTATTGAAGGTACCTGTGCAGTGTTTAGAGGGGCTGGAAAGGCCTATTGTTAAGCTTTGTACTGAATGTACCTGTGCAGTGTTTAGAGGGGCTGGAAGGGCCTATTGTTAAGCTTTGTATTGAATGTACCAGTGCAGTGTTTAGAAGGGCTGGAAAGGCCTATATTAATTAAAAGCACCATTTTAGAGGAATTTATTGTAAAAAATGGCTTTGTTTAGTATTTATGATAATAATTCAGCGGTCACATAGTGGCGGGGTCACTGAAGGAGTCCCCGCATCATCCTCATCATCAGGCACCTTGCCGACTGGCGTGGGTGATCGTGCCTCTCCACAATCTGCGATCTCCTGCAGCATGTATCAGTTCCTGTGCTGACACAGCTCCATGCCATGCAACAAGACTTCAAGAATCTTCTCTCGTCGTCTTTCTCTATTCCTCCTTCCACAGATCCTACCAGTGGTCATGAATTGTTCTTTTTCCCTGTCATAACATGGCCGAAAAATGATGTCTCCTGATGTCTGTGATAAGTTTTCAATCCCATATACATTATATTTTTATGAGCAAGGGAATTCATTCATTTAATTCTCCACTCTGTATTTTTTGTTCTTTAGTTCATATATTTATATAACATTTTTTTTAAATATAAAAAATCATCACAGTTCGATCCAGTGATCGACTTGTAGCAATGTTTAGATCATCATCATTGGTTTTCACTTCTGCCGTTAAGCGCCATTAATTATTGAGGCCATCATCATCAGTTTCCACTTCTGCACAATGTTTCAAATTAAGCGGCGTAGGGAGAAATAGTTTTCGATCCATTGAAGCTCCGTATCCATGGATAGCAATGTTTAGATCATCATCATCAGTTTTTACTTCTGCCGTTAAGCGCCGTGAAATAATTATTAGGGCCATCATCATCAGTTTACATTTCTGCGCAATTTCCCTGTTTATATTTTTAACTACATGACCTCTCGAGTCCCTAACTACATGACCTCTTGAGGCCATGAATGGGATTTTTTGTCTTTGAATAATAAGGGACCGTTATTCGGAAGAGTGCCAAGATTTTTGTAAATAATTTTAATTATTAGTGACCTGTGTGAATTATTTTTTTAAAGGATTTTCTAAGGATTCCAGTGGGGCACTTGATTTTTTAACAGTTATGGTGCGACAGGTTTAAAAGGATGGCTGGTATACTGTGTTGTGGTTTACAGCTGGGCTGCGATATCTGTGGCATTTGGCCCAACACATCTGATTTCAAAAAAGCCCTTTTATGACATGCTTCTTAGGGGTCGGTGGCTCTACCGCCCACACCACTTTTTCCTCAAACGGGACCCAGAAACCCACATGGGTAGAAAACAAGTACAATACACAGACACCGGGCATAACTAACCTCTTTGTCTGTCTTCTCCTGGGTGACCAGTACGCTGGTGATGTCATCCTTCTGGATTTTATCGCGGAACTGCTCCAGCAAAGCCTTCCTCTGTTCCTTCATCTCATTGACCTTCTGCAGCAGACGCCGAGTTTCACTGACAACTTCTTGATCCTCACTTGCTGCAAATTTTACAAAAGCAACACAAAAACTGTCACTAATAAACACAGAAAAAATCAATTTTATAAACATCTGTGTAAAAAAAAAAGAAATAAATTGCTAGGCAACCATAGAAAAGGTATTATAAGCAACCTGTTATGTTGTTGACTGGAACTCCAAGATATAAATGAAAGAAGCAGAAAGAAAATAAAAGTAAAGAATTAACAGCAAGACAATGTAAGAGTAGAAAAATTAACACAATATAGGGCAAACAATTAACAGCAAGATAAAATAAAATTATGAAAGTAAATTTTTTTTTTTGGTTCTCATCTTCATTTACAGCAAGACAGTGTCAGAGTAAGGAGAGTAATGTGTGTGTGTTGTTTTTTTTTTAAAGTAAATGTAAGATTAGGTAAATTAGGGTTAGAAGTTTACAAAACAAGAGTAAGGAAAGGAAGATAAGAACAAGAATTTACAAGATACAAAACAAAAAAGAGAGAATATGAGCTCAGCAACTAAAAATAGCACTTGGGGTTGTCCTTATGACCTCCAATAGGATTATAAAGCCAAGCTGATGTCAAATTTTCCTGTAGGTTTCAGTGATAGAGGTTGAGTCACCCAATACATATTGCTTTTCGGACTTCAGGGAATGTATTCCACTGGATGCTTCTTTCTGTTTGTGTCTGCTGATTACCACTGTATATATCTTTATATATTTGAGAAATAAAATGCAAAATGTAGATAAAACGTTTTAAAACAAGAATTAGTAACTCATGAAATATGGTTAAATGTGTCCATAAAGCCTTTTTATGGGAATTTTCTTGGTTGTATGTTCCCCTTTAATTTTGTGTGTGTGTATGTATGAGCTTGGTAACAGGATTAAAGAAAAAACACCTACACAACTAAAATATATACCGGAAGACAGGATAATGGGAGAGGAAAAACAATCACACAAAAACTTACACAAGACGGGCTGAGATGGTGGAAGCATGGCCTGGATCTCGGAGGGGGCCAGCACCAGTGTCTTCAAGTTGTTTGTATGCGTGCTCATGGCCTTGTGGAGAGTTGCATTTGACTGACTTCCTTCTTCGTGTCGCCTGCGGTAGGCAGCCAGATCCTCTAGCAGCCCTGGCAGAACGGAGCTTGGATTCTTCTTGCCATACATTTTCTGTAAGTCAAGGTGATTGACAGTCATAACATGGTGACACTGACTGACTGATTTGCTTTAATTCAAAAATCCCCATTTCACTTTATCAATCAGTGTTTCACTATTCCTCATGAAAGATCACAGAAAATTATAATATAGTGATACTGACTGACTCATTAATTTATATATTTTCTGCAAATAAAGATAGATGGTTTACAACAGTGGCACAGACAGACTGATCAATTTACAGACAGACTGATCAATTTACAGACAGACTGATCAATTTACCGACTGAATGATACATTTTCTGCAAATCAGGTGACACTGACTGACTGATTAATTAAATGAATGACAAATTTTCTGCAAATCAAGTTGACTGATAGTTTTACAACACTGACAATGAGTGAATGATCAAGTGACTGATTTACTTAACTCAAAGATAATCCTTATTTTATTTGATCAATTAATATTCCATTATCCCTTCTGAAAAATCACACTAAATCATAGCTAGATCCACTGATTTATGCTTCAATCAAGTGCAACTAACTGTTTTGCACTTTACAAAATTAGTATTTGAATTTCACACCTATTTATATTATAGTAAGTAGATCATATTATTATGGCAAAAATGACTGACTGATTTACTGACTTAAATGAAGGATCATTTCACAGCAATTCTCAAATAATATTTTAATATTACGACGAACCTTACCTGTAGTAAAATCTCTCCCCGCAGCTCAATGTAGTGTAGTGCCATCATATTACCACAATGCCACACACAACAAAAAATGCACATATATACCACACACACACAAACCATTAGCCACATATAGCACATATATACCATATGCAAAACCATTATATAGCACATATATACACACATTAGCCACATATACCACACACACACAAAACCATTAGCCACATATAGCACATATATACCACACACACACACAAAAACCATTAGCCACATATAGCACATATATACCACACACACACAAAACCATTAGCCACATATAGCACATATATACCACAATGCAAAAACCAACTGTTAACAAATCTACCACAAGCAAAACAGATTAGCCTGCTACCACACACACCAAAACCATAGATAGAAGAATTTTAGAAATAGTGTATATTCCTCCAGATTTATTACAATTACAGTGCACATATATACCACTGTTGCTACAAAACCATTAGCCACAAAGTGTACACTGTTAAAAAATGTTCGATTACCTGCATTCCTCCAGATTTATTACAATTACAGTGGTTTACTCTAGTGCTTGTATTCTAGTGCTTGTATTCAATATTTAGCTTCTGTAGATGTTTTTGTCTGTGTCTTTGGCTTAGGTGTTGTGAACGTGTTTCATAATGCTGGGCTGCCAGGTTCGATCCTAGCTGCGGGCCGTTTGCCTTGTGTTGGTTTTTACAGCGCTACCGAGAGCTGGCCATTCAAATAAGCAATGGCAAACTACTGAACATAAAATTTGCCTAGAAAAACCACAACAGCCAAAACATGCTGAGGTTGGTTCTAAAACGTCCTATAAAGGATACTCAACTAACTTTTAATAATGTTCACTATTACTTGGGTAGAATGGTGGATGGGCTTGCATAAACAATTCTAAACCGTTTGAAAATAAAATCTGTTCCTTTATTCATTCATTCATTCATTCTCTCTCTCTCTCTCTCTCTTGTGTGTACGAGTATATGCATAAAAATGCATGTGCATGCATGTATGTGTGACTGTATAGCAACGGTACCTCAAACTGCAGGGTTTTCTCTGCATCCTCCTCAATGATCTGCTGCAACTCCTGGATACTCAGCTCTACCTCAGTGGCCAGCCCTGAGACACCTGCACCCAAACACAACAGTTATGTTCATTCATGGAACCCACCAGGAAACAGAAGATGACAAAGACAGACACCCTCTCACTGAACATAAAACAAGATGTAACAACCAGCCGAGCTCAAGTCTTACAAGATAATCTACAAATTTCTCACATTAATGATCTGTATGTTTCTGTGAAAAATTCTCTCTTATCCCTTTTTGTGAGGAGGCCTGTGACAGCTTCCATCCACTCAAAATTGGAGGTAGACCTATGCCAGAACATAGATATGCAGACGACACAGTTCTTCTTTCCAAAAGTGCCCAACAAGGCTTAGAACAATTACTTTTTATTGTCAAAAAGCACACTTAAGAAGAGAATCTATTTCTGAATCTGAAAAAAAAAATGTCCCCAATGAATATGGCACACTGACCACGTATTAAAATAGAGAGACAGAGACGTTCTGTAAAGGACATGGTGACTGGCGATCAAAAATAATAAGTTCCCTTCATTATTTGTTCACATTATCATGTCCCTTCATTTAGTTTTCTCACATGAAAGATTTATGTACTGTTTATTAATCTTTCTCTGGGAAAGACTTAACATCATTAGTCTTTCAATATGAAATATTATATTCACATCTTAACTTTTGCTATGAAAGACTGTTAAAATCATTAATCTCTATAAAACTGTGTATTCTCATTTTGAATTTCTCTATGAAAGATTATGTTAACATCATTAATCCCACTCTATGAAAGACTGTTAACATTATTAATCTTTCACTCATTTTAATGTTTGAAAGACAGTGATAACATCTTCAATCTTTCTCCGCGAAAGACTGTGTGAACATCATTAATCTTTCTCTATGAAACAGCCATCTTAACTTCCCTTAATGAAAGATTATGTATTCCCTTCATTAATCTTCCACACACAACTCATAACATCCCACCTCTATATACACCCAAGGATCTTCTTTATCATTTCACTTTTAACCTATATTCCTCAGCTGATTCTCTTTATCATTTCATTACCTCACATTTTAATTTCCAAACAATTACATTTTATCAATTCACAACTTCATATTTCTATTTCACATGGGATTCCTTTTTTTATCAATTCACATTTTTATTCCCCTTATCATTTCACAACTATTTACCATGGGATTCATTTTACCATTTCACACCTTCACATTTTCTATCTCCCATACAACTGATATCTATGACAACTTCACAATTTCCCATGCATGTCTCCTTTATAATTTCATAACCTGAAACTTTTATTTCCTATGGGATTCTCACCACCTAACAAATCTCATTCTCATGGGATTCTCTTTAACCATTTCCGAACCTCACAATTCTATTTCCCATTTCTCTTATCCTTTTACAACCTCGCCCTTCTATTTAGCATCATTTTCTCATGGGATTCTGTTATCTACAACTTACTGGCCATAGAATCAGTGAGTTCCTTGATTGCATTTGTCCTGACACTCATGGCTGCACATTTCTCCATGAGGTTCTCTGGCATCAGGTCTGGTTTTGGATTCAGTTGCTCCACATCCAGCTGTAGGGATGACATGAACTGTCTGTGGGGGTATCAGAGTTCATTAGTCAGATGAGCACACAGTTGACTACAGTAGTAGTCAGTGGATAAAGGGATGGATATTTAAGCACACAGTTTACTACAGTAGAAGTGGATAAAGGGATTGATATTTGAACACACAGTTGACTACAGTAGTAGTGGATAAAAGGATGGATATTTGAGCACATAGTTTACAGTAGTAGTGAGTGGATAAAGGGATGGATATTAGAGCACACAGTTGACTACAGTAGTAGTGAGTGGATAAAGGGATGGATATTAGAGCACACAGTTGACTACAGTAGTAGTGAGTGGATAAAGGGATGGATATTAGAGCACACAGTTGACTACAGTAGGAGTGGATAAAGGGATGGATATTTGAGCACACAGTTGACTACAGTAGTAGTGTGAGTGGATATTTGATAAAGTAGGGTGGATGGATATTTAGACACATACAGTAGTGACTACAGTAGGAGCAGTTGACTACAGTAAAGTGAGTGGATAGATATTTGAGCACACAGTTGACTACAGTAGTAGTGAGTGGATAAAGGGGTGGATATTTGAGCACACAGTTGACTACGTAGTAGTGAGTGGATAAAGGGGTGGATATTAGAACACACAGTTGACTACAGTAGTAGTGAGTGGATAAAGGGATGGATATTTGAGCACACAGTTGACTACAGTAGGAGCGGATAAAGGGATAGATATTTGAGCACACAGTTGACTACAGTAGTAGTGAGTGGATAAAGGGATGGATATTTGAGCATACAGTTGACTACAGTTGGAGCGGATAAAGGGATAGATATTTGAGCACACAGTTGACTACAGTAGGAGCGGATAAAGGGATAGATATTTGAGCACACAGTTGACTACAGTAGTAGTGAGTGGATAAAGAGATGGATATTTGAGCATACAGTTGACTACAGTAGGAGTGGATAAAGGGATAGATATTTGAGCACACAGTTGACTACAGTAGTAGTGAGTGGATAAAGGGATTGATATTTGAAAACACAGTTGAATATAGTGGTGAACAGTGGATAATGCGCTGGATATTTGAGCACAGTTGAATATAGTGGTAGAGAGTGGACAAAGAGATAGATTTGATGTCACAGGAATAGACGGATGGATGAATGAGTGAATTATTTATGGAAATGGATGATTTTATTCAGCAAAGTGAATGAGTGCATGGATGGGTGGATGATTTCATTTAGCAAAGTGAATGAGTGCATGGATGGGTGGACTGGTTGGTTGGGGGGTGGGAGGGTGTGTGAATGGATGAGTATATGGACAGAAGGGTGTATGACAAGCTAAAAAATAACTAGTCTGACTATATAGTTTGGGTGGGAAAGGAGCACTGAAGTAATCTGTGATTCTGATGATCGTAAGGGATGGCAAACCATGACAGCATATGTTTATCAGCCAGGCATTTGATGGTGATGAAGTATGGATGTCTGGATAGATAGATGTATGAATGGATGGGCAAGCTGAATGGATAGGTGAATGTGGATATGGAAATTTAAGTTGAAAATATAAACATACATGACAACAAGAGAAGGCCAATTACAAAGACAAATGGAAGCAGGTAATATCTTCAGCAATGAACCTCAAAGGTTCAGAATCCAGAAGAAAAAGAAGAAGAAGGAAGAGGATAAGAAGAAGCAAGAGGGAAAAGAGGAGAATAATAACTTACTCTAGCTCCATGTTTTTCTGCTCAATCTCACCAACTACCTGACGTGTCAGTTTGGCCTTTTCTTCGCTGTGAACAGAATATATAATACAAATTGCATTTTTAGTCTCTCTAACAGCAATAAAATTTACTCAGGAAAGATTATGTCTGCCAGAAAGTCTTGCTAATAAAAGCAACACTCAAGTAAACAAATCTCGAAGTTTTATACTCGGATGGAAGAAGGGCTCAAGAACACTATTCCAAATTGACGTGGTTTTTCTGTACTGATTCAGGAGACAAGTCACCAGCCACCTAACTGAGATACTACTTCTATGCTGGGCTGGAAGAAAAGTGCATCAATCCCATTTTGATAGTACTTATATGCTGGGCTAGGAGAAAAGTGCATCAATCCCAATGTAATAGTACTTCTATGCTGGGCTGGAGGAAAAGTGCATCAATCCCACTTTGATAGTACTTCTATGCTGGGCTGGAGGAAAAGTGCATCAATCCCACTTTGATAGTACTTCTATGCTGGGCTGGAAGAAAAGTGCATAATTCCCACTGTAATAGTACTTCTATGCTGGGTTGAAAGAAAAGTGTATCCATCACACAGGTAGTACTTCTATGCTTGGTCTGGAGAAAAGTGCATCAATCCCACTTAGGCAGTACTTCTATGCTTGGTCTGGAGAAAAGTGCATCAATCCCACCTAGATAGCACTTCAATGCTGGACTTGGAGAAAAGTGCATCAATCCCACTTAGATAGCACTTCTATGCTGGACTGGAGAAAAGCATGCTCCACCTAGATAGCACTTATGCTGGACTTGGAGAAAATTTATGTAATCCCAGGCAGGCAGTACTTCTAAGCTTGTCTCCAGAAAACTGCATTAATCCCACTTAATATTTATGTAATAGGACTGGGAGAAAAGCTGCTCCAGCAAACTTATCGAGGTAATATTTATGTAATAGGCTGGGAGAAATGCTGTTCCAACAAACTTATCGAGGTAATATTTCTGTACCAGGTTGGGAGAAAAGTCATTACACTAACCTATCAAGGTAATATCTATACACAATAATTTGCAGTAAACAGTTAAACCGTAATTTGACATAACAAGACTCAAAATAATTTGCAGTAAACAGTCACATGGTAATCTGGGCAGTATTTCACCTACCTGTACACAGATGAAGCCTCATGAGCTTCTATTGGGACCAGCTTCTGAAAGATGTCCGGACCAGATATTTCTTTGTCAGTCAAGTTCACAGGGATACCTTTGGCCAAAGTGGCACCTGTACAGAAAGAGGAAGTTGTTACATATGAACATATGAGCTGTTTGAAAACCTCTAGATCTGTTTATGAAGTTTACTGATACCTTTCCGTCTTTCTAGATGAAAGTGTTATGTTGTGATTTTCAAAGGTCTGGGAATCACAGTCTATGGTGATCCCTAGTGTGATTAGCAAGACTCACTTGCTTTTGAGAAAAGTCTTCCACAGTTAGAGCATGGCATTTCAGGACCCTTATTATATAGCATGTATTTAATGTGTTTCTTCTCAGACGCTCAGCTCTTAACCTTTCTGCAATCTTTTCCTTTATCTCCCTCTGTTCAATTCTTAATCAACCCCTTTCTATGAAACAGTCCGTGGCATTCTATTCCTTCAAATCCATCTCAATACCTGTATCATTCATACCCACTATCAAAAATCTTTGTCACGTGACCCCGACATCTTGGGAAGGCTAACCAGGTCAACAAATGCCTGCAGAAGAGGGATGTGTCTACCGAAAGGTCGCAAATATAGCAGCCATGTTGTAAATGGGCACAATGTAATTACATCTTTGGATGAACGTAGAAGAAGATTATGTGATTCACAAGTAAATGCTTCCCTAATGTGTAATATACACTTTAGGAAGCATGCCATGGGGGTTTGGATCCCGAATGGACATATTTCGCATCGTCTAAAAACATTTGGAAGTACCCAAATATTGTGCTGTATGGATCAGAGGCAATCTGCTTCTGACAAGTATGTTTTTAAGATTACAGTCTCATTTGTACATCACTCTAGGGTGGTTGCTAAAAATCTTACGAGTGTCCGGATCAGAACAGAGAATGTTACGGCGATAATGGAAGATTCATCTTACAACTACACACAGCTTAATCTTGGTAACTCTAAGCAAACTACTGACCTTTAACCTCAGGCAAACTCTCCAAAGCTGGCACTTTATCATGATATACAAAATCATTATCTTTCTTTGCAGACTCGTATCTGAAAACATAAAGAGAAGATGAATAATTTCAAGTGTGACATCAGAACTGTCATTCAATGAGTGACTCTGATACTGTCATTCGATAGCTGACATAAATATTGCCAGTCAATCACCGACATTAGAACTGTTATCCAATCACTGACACAAGTATTGTCATTCAATCACTGACATCAGAACTGTCATCCAATTGCTGACATCAGAACTGCCATCCAAACACCGCCGCAGATACTGCAATTCAATCACTGACAACAAGACTGTCATTAATTCACAAACATCACATATGTTATTAATTTACTGACATCACAATAATCATAATTCACTGGCATAAGAACTGTCATTCCCCCAATGACATAAGAACTGTCATTTAATCACTGATGTCAGAACTATCATTCCCTTGCTGACATCAGAAATGTAATCCAGTCATGATATCGGTACTGTCATTATCTCACTGACAGCAGTAGTTTCATTCAATCACTGTCATAAGAGCTGTCATCCAGTCATTGACAACTGAACTTTCATTCCCACACTGATATAAGAAATTCATCCAATTGCTGACATCATAACTGTCACCTTTCACTAAAATCAGAGTTATCATTCCCTTTCTGAAATCAGAACTGTCATTAAGTCACTGACATAAGAACTATCATTCTCTCACAGACATGAGAACTGTCATTCTCTCACTGAAATCAGAATTGTCATTAAGTCACTGACATAAGAACTATCATTCTCTCACAGACATGAAAACTGTCATCCACTCACAGACACTTACTTGCCCATGACCACATCTTTGGCAAACTGTAAACAGTCCAACACTTCAGGAAGGTCATTCTGGAACACAGAAGTGTGGTCCAAGTGAAAAAGTGATGCATTTTTAAACACATCTAAATTCACATTGTTAATGAAAATGTTGTACAATCCTCCATCCAACTCAAATAACTATTTAATACTTTGATTCACCAAAAGTATGTTTCAAAAGATGATGAGTAATATTACCTTAGCCAACTGAGTGGCTTTGGCCAGCTCATCCCGCGCAGCCGTGTAGTAAGCCAGGCACTCTCCAGATTTCTCCAGCTCTTGCGAGCGACGGCCGAGGAAATAGTAGGTGATGCACTGGTAGAAGGCTGCCTTCATCAGCAGACGTCGGCCCCACTCCTATGATGACCAGCAAAACAACAAAGAATAAGCAGCGTTAAGTATCAGAATGCCAGAAATTTAACAAGTTTACAGAATCATCCATTTACTGTCTGTCTCATCTCTCCCCAATGTTCTTTAAAGTCACATTTACATATTTAGTCTTTCCTCTTTTAATTTATGGTAAAGAACTATGTTAAAGAATTGTTTAGTCTTTCCTCTTTTACCTCATGGTAGAGAAAGATGTTATAGAAGTGTTTAGTCTTTCTTCTTTTACCTCATGGTAGACAAATGTGTTATAGAAGTGTTTAGTCTTTCCTCTTTTACCTCATGGTAGAGAAAGATGTTATAGAAGTGTTTAGTCTTTCTTCTTTACCTCACATGGTAGAAGATGTTATAGAATGTTTAGTACCACATGGTAGAGAAAGAGTTATAGAAGTGTTTAGTCTTTTCTCTTTTACCACATGGTAGATAAAGATGTTATAGAAAGTCTTTCTTCTTTTACCTCATGTTACCACATGGTAGATAAAGATGTTATAGAAGTGTTTAGTCTTTTCTCTTTTACCACATGGTAGAGAAAGATGTTATAGAAGTGTTTAGTCTTTCTTCTTTTACCTCATGGTAGACAAATATGTTATAGAAGTGTTTAGTCTTTCTTCTTTTACCTCATGGTAGACAAAGATGTTATAGAAGTGTTTAGTCTTTCCTCTTTTACCTCATGGTAGACAAATGTGTTATAGAAGTGTTTAGTCTTTCCTCTTTTACCTCATGGTAGACAAAGATGTTATAGAAGTGTTTAGTCTTTCCTCTTTTACCTCATGGTAGACAAATGTGTTATAGAAGTGTTTAGTCTTTCTTCTTTTATCTCACGGTAGAGAAATATGTTACAGAATTGTTTAGTCTTTCCTCTCTTATCTCATGGTAGAGAAATATGTTACAGAATTGTTTAGTCTTTCCTCTTGTATCTCATGGTAGAGAAATATGTTACAGAATTGTTTAGTCTTTCCTCTTGTATCTCATGGTAGAGACAGATGTTATAGAACTGTTTAGTCTTTCCTCTTGTATCTCATGGTAGAGACAGATGTTACAGAATTGTTTAGTCTTTCCTTTTTTACCTCATGGTAGAGACAGATGTTACAGAACTGTTTAGTCTTTCCTCTTGTATCTCATGGTAGACAAATGTGTTATAGAAGTGTTTAGTCTTTCTTCTTTTATCTCACGGTAGATAAACATGTTACAGAATTGTTTAGTCTTTCCACTCTTATCTCATGGTAGAGAAATATGTTACAGAATTGTTTAGTCTTTCCTCCTGTATCTCATGGTAGAGAAATATGTTACAGAATTGTTTAGTCTTTCCTCTTATATCTCACGGTAGAGAAAGATGTTACAGAATTGTGTATGTTTAGACTTTCCTATATATAAAGATATAAAGTAACTCTGTTTAGTCAATCATCCCCATGTGGGATCCAAGACCCCATTAAGGAGGGAAAAACTAAGAGATCCATGGCTTCCTAACATCAATGATGACAAAGGCGACTAATTAAGTCTGTTTCCTTTGAAGTCGGAGTGCATCTACCTAAGAAGCAAGAAACTAACAGTCTGCAAACCAATAAGCCAGATTTGTAAGGCGGATGTGCATGCAAAACTCAAGTTCTGGATCAAGATTTCAGTTCAGTAGTGGATGAACTACAATAACATTATGCCGAAGTTTACGGCTAGTGAACACTAAAAAAGAAGCTGATCCTCTTTTACAAAACTATATTTTGAACAGATTGGTTCATTGTGAATTCGAACAAACTCTAAGACAGATAAGTACTCAACAGAGAATCAGCTGAGTCATGCTGCATTAAGAACTGACATAACAGCACTGAGGCCATTCTCATCTTTGCCCTGTCTCCATCTTCAACACTAGTCCAGAATTCCAACTGATTGTATGTCCGTCTTGCCTTACCTTTAAGTGCTGTGTGTCGGCCTGATCTATTAGCACTTTTAGCTGTACTATTCTCTTCAGACTGTAATGATCTATTTGCACATCCGCATTGTTCCCAAAGGGCCTTCACCACATCTAGCTCATCATACACCAGTTCACCACCCAGGTGTGCACACCCAGATTCAACATCACTGGTATAAGTAGACAACTACATCCAACAATTTCTCTTAGGAAACAATTCATTTCACAATAAAATATAGTAAACCCTCATTTACAAGTTTATTATGACGTGATTTGGCCATGTACTGTCTGCTGCTACTCCTGTATAGGATGAGAAGGTTAACATGAACTCACTTAAGATGAAGCAGCCGGGATGCATTATTATTAGTCCCTAGTCAGTACAGAATATATTTATTATGGGTTTTTGGTCACTTGGAGTTTTACTGTTGAAGAAAGCAAACACACATTTGTAAAAGCCACAAAGCTGAACTGCTGAAATGGAAAAAAAACTGACCTTGTGCATTCTAGAACTGATCTGCTGTTTTTGGTCAGCCAAGTCAATGAGCCGACTGGCATCTTTGTAAAATTCAACCACCTGGGCGGCCACTTTGGCCGTAATGTTGTTCTTGCGATTGTCAATGAGAGATTTCTCCAAGATACATTCCTGTGCCTGAGTCTGAATAAACAAATAGTGTGCTGGTATACATGTAAGGCAAATTACAAATTATGCAATACATGTTGTGGGTTGTAGTGGTCTTACTCAATAACAAATGTGAATATGGAACAAAGGTCACTGAGACTTTTCTGTGTAGGAAACATGAAACTATGCACCTTAAAAATGCTGAGCGTGTAGTCCAAAACAGTAAACTGTGTGCTGCTGCTAACAGAGAAGAAATCTGGCATATTCCAACCTAATCGTGATAAAGCTGTATAGTACAGTGGGAGATCTGGTGTGCACAAAAGCTTTCGTCAAGGTCAGGCTAAGGGCTTCTGATATAATTGTAGTATTAGTTATGACAGAAGAATCAAAAGAAGAAGAAGACTGCTTTAGATTTTTTTTTTTTTTTTTTTTTAGCTTTGTTCGCCTTTAACCCTTTCACTTCAGAAACCCTTTCAGTGAACAGCCCTGAACCTAGGAGCTTCGCAAAAAAGCCAGGTAAGCTGCATCGACACATGTACTATCCAGGCAGCGCACTGGAAGTGTGTACAGGAAACCCTCATGCCCTGGAGTGAATCAAACAATCATTAATTGCACATCCACATAAAGGTTTCTTTTCGGCTTTGGCTAAGCAAATGGGAAGGTCTGGGATGTGACCCTTCAGTCCCTAGCAATCACAATGAAAGATCTGTCATGTCCAAGACATGCAACTCACAAAAGAAGGGACTTCAAATCATGGATCTGATGAGAGAAGGGACCTGCAGTCATGGATCTAATGGAGAAGAGACCTCAAATCATGGATCTGATGAGAGAAGGGACCTGCAGTCATAGATCTAATAGAGAAGAGACCTCAAATCATAGATCTGGTGAGAGAAGGGACCTGCAGTCATAGATCTAATAGAGAAGAGACCTCAAATCATGGATCTGGTGAGATAAGGGACCTGCAGTCATGGATCTAATGGAGAAGAGACCTCAAATCATGGATCCGGTGAGAGAAGGGACCTGCAGTTATGGATCTAATAGAGAAGAGACCTCAAATCATGGATCCGGTGAGATAAGGGACCTGCAGTCATAGATCTAATAGAGAAGAGACCTCAAATCATGGATCTGGTGAGATAAGGGACCTGCAGTCATGGATCTAATAGAGAAGAGACCTCAAATCATGGATATGACGTGAAGAAAACTTGAATCTGAAGATCTGAAGAGAGCAGGGGCAGTGCTTCAAGCATGGATCTAATGAGAACAATCATGAATTAGACATATGGGATGTCAAATCCTAGGTATGATGATAAAAGGGAGCTTAAAACATGGATCTAGAGAGACTAGTCATAGATCTTCGAGAGAAGAGACCTCAAGTCAAGGATCTGATAACAGCGAGGGCAGTGAAAGGGTTTACAAAAATGGAACAGGAATTATCTTCTCAAATAATGACTGACAAGTCCTCCATATCAGCTGGTCTTTTCAACTAGAGGTCTTCATCATAGTGTTCACCGTTTAATGGAAAGTCCTGGTTGTTCATCCACTTCTGGATTTTTGTCTTGTACCAAAACATAAGTTTTGCTTGCACATCCAATTTTTTTTTACAGATCTAGATTAGTTATATGCAGACTGCTGGTGCCTTGCCTCTCAGGCTGATGCACTTTGACTTCAAAGGAAGTCCCTATTTAGTCACCTTGTACAACATGCTTGATTGGGGGGGGGGGGGGTTCGGTGGTCCTATTCTAACCCCTCCCCCCCCCCCATAATAGAGCACTGGAACTCATATGGGAAAACTATTGTGCCTTTAAACAACAGATCTGCACATTAATAAGTACTGCATGTATTTGTAAGGGAAAGCCATGTTGTTCTGAGGTAAAGACGTGTGGTTGTGAGGGAAAGGCATGTGGTTGTGAGGGAAAGCCATGTGGTTGTGAGGGAAAGGCATGTGGTTGTGAGGGAAAGCCATACTGTTGTGAGGGAAAGGCATATAGTTGTAAGGGAAAGCCATGTTGTTGTGAGGAAAAGACATGTGAGGAAAAGGCATGCTGTTGTGAGAAAAAGGCATGCTGTTGTGAGGGAAAGCTATGTGGTTGTGAGGGAAAGCCATGTGGTTGTGAGGGAAAGCCATGTGTTTGTGGGGGAAAGCCATGTTGTGAGGGACAATCATGTTGTCAGGGAAAACCAACACAGGCTAGGGTCCACAGACTTGTTAATGATTGAATGAATTTTGCAGCTTAAGTTTTTTTTTTACAGAAAGATGTAGCCAGCCTAACAATAACTTCTCTTTTTCATTGACTTCTCGTATGAAAACTGGTAACACAGAGTATCTATTTAAATATGCTATATATTTCATTTGTCATTTCCTTATGGCGCGGATAAATGATTGAACACTAATCATCATCATGCGCCCTGCCAATAAGCTTGGGTGGTCATGCTTCACCATCTCACATGATTATCAGAAAGCGGATTATGTCAGTGATGCTGTCTCACCCCCCATTCACATGGTCAAGCCATCTGGGTGTTTATCTATTTGTCTTCCTCTCGCTCCTTTCTTTTTTCAAACAATCCTGACAGTTGTAAAAAAAAATTCATGAGTCCATTCATTCTCACAACATGTCCAAAAAAACACTGAATGTTTACGCCTATTTATTCTAATCAGTTTACAGTTTTCATCCATATCGAGGAGGATCCCACTAGTGAGTGGCCCCCTGCAATATCTGAGTGTTCGTTTGTGATATCAATATCTATAATATTCTCGTCAGTCTTAAAAACCATATCGTCACTGCTCACTAGTTTCCGCCCTGTTTCTGTCAAGTAACAAGGTATGGAGTGGAAACATGGAGAACAACTAAAGCATTTACTTATACACTACAAACATTCATTAACTGGTGCCTGTGCAGAAAAGAGGGATTTAAACAGTATGATCACTAATGCAGAGCTTTGGGAGAGAACTAAGCAAGCTCCAGTGGACCAAGAGGTGAAGAAAAGATACTGCTGCTGGATAGCACACACTTTGAGAAAACCTGAGAACAATATAACTAGAATGTCTTTGTGCTGAAAACAACAAGGGCACAGAAATAGGAGAATGAAGTAAAAGATGAAGTCTATGGGCAGAGCTCATGCAATAACGAAGGATAGAATGACTTGGCGTTGAGTTGGTTGTGGGGCTGCTCCATTAGGGTTTAGAAAGGCAGATGAAGAACAACAACAAGGAGCATCATTGTCGAGAAGATGAAACACCGACTCACCTCTACATTGTGTCGTGTGTCGAGCACCCCAAGCAGGGAATGAAGACTGCCGATGTTGTAGAGAATGCAAGCCTGTTCAAATTTGATGTCGCTAATTACATGATCTCTTCCCGTCTGAATATCCTCCCTAAAAAAGGAGTCACAAATAATGTTATCTTTTATGCATAATAAATCATTCAATGCATATACCAGAAAATACTTCAGTGTATATTAACAGGATTGTTCGATGCAATAAATAATCCAATGTAATAGAAAAAAGGAAAAGGTCTGTGTTTGTGTGTGCGATGGTGAGAGAGAGAGAGAGAGAGAGAGAAAGACAGAGAGAGAGACAGAAGGGGAAAAGTGAGCCTGAACGCAAGAAATTTGTATAACAGCTGTATAAGCTACAAATCAGAGTGGCCAGAAAAAGTTAGTACCAAACTAGCAGAGTTAATCACTGTGTGCTAAAAATTTATTACAACACAGTACTCAGCACCTGTGAAGTGGACAGCAACTAGCGATAATCTTTAGTGCACTTTACAGATGTAGACATTCAATTTTAGATATATGTAAGAAGAAAAACATTTGGTGACAACCATATTGTTTGAAAAAAAAAAAGAGCAAGGGGAATACAAGAAACTAATACCTGGATAGCATGGGTAGGAAAACAGACCTGGTCTGTGATTCTGCTGATTATTAACCTTAAGCACTAATACTTATTTATCTAAATAGCACATGACGTGAGTACTGGACAAGGCATAACAAACAAAACAGATCAAACTAACAAACACAGGAGACTACAACATTACCAGGTGAAAGCTATAGCTGCTTCACCTCCTTCTCCCATGGGGAACCTCTTCTGCAGGTACTCCAGCTGGGTGTAGTACTTCTTGAGAGTGGTGCAGCCCATGTAGTCCCTGCTGACTTGTATGGCTGCCTGAGGTTATGTGAAGACAAATGATGAAAATATATGATGTGATATCATGTTATTAGCATCTGCAACACTGCACACTAGACATCCCCATATGCTCAGTGCTCTGATGCAGCAGCCATTCCAAGTTATCTCCACCTACTCCCATACAAAGTTGGTTATAATATCTCATAGCTTTACTTCAAAGACAATACAGATATGATTCGTCTGGCTTTACTCACAGGTCATATAACTGGGTTAGTGCAAGAGTATTCTTGTTATACACCAGCCTGGTTGGTTCTATATCAGTTCTGTCCATGCTTTTTCCAGCTTGTGTAAATACCTAATAATAAATGCTTCTGTTCTGTCAGTAGGCTGTCTGAGCCGGATCCAGTTTGTGACTGGTTTCTAGCAACCACTGAAGTCTGGTGGCCAGTACTCTCTCCATCATTTTTGCAGGGAAACTTAGCAAACTTAAAGGCCTGTAGCTCTGAGAGTCCTTCTTGTGCTTGCCATTTTTGAGGATAGTGTCATTATATCATTTTTGAAAGGATCAACATGATGCTCACTACCTGTGGCCTACAGAATTGTTTCTTTGTGTTCACTGGTTGTAGACTCTGGTTGTTCATCCACCTCTGGATATGTCTTACTCCAGAACCTGAGTTTTGCACACACATCCATTTTACAGATATCTGTTATCTGTATGCAGTTGGCTCCTTGTCTCTCAGGTAGAGGCATATCAACTTCAAAGGGAACTAGTAACTTTTCAACTCTTATGGCATGCCCATTGAGGAGACAGTGGGTCTACCCCCCCCCCCCCCTCTCCACAATTGGGCTCCAGACCCACAGTGGAGCAAGAGTGTATGTAATGTTTTTCAGATTCTCTGGACTATGTTGACCTGAAGTAATCTACCTGAAACAAAGAAACAAAAGCTACCTGTCGAAGCTGCTCCAGGTCAGTGCAAGCCTTGCTGTACAGTGCAGGATCTTCCCCATAGTGGTCTTTGATGTACTGAAATTAACACAACAGACACAGATGGTGATAATGTAAACAGTCAAAGTAAGTGGAAGAGCTTTTTCATGCTAGCCATGCATAGGGCAGTCAGTGCGAGACATATGTATAGACCAAACAGTACTCTATAGGTAATCTCTTCCTCTTGCTAGGAGTCTTCACTTTCCAGAATATTTCCTGGTGCTCAATTTCAACCTACGCTCGTCTGATGGCCTGAAGATTTTGAGTTCAAATCCACAGACCTTGGGTTCAAATTTGCATTTAGCCAGATTGTTTTTAAATTATCTAGGTTCCCAGGTTACCCAGCATAAAATGAGTACCAGTTAAAGTTCTGCAAAGTAAAGGCAATCAATGTGGTCTTGATCATAAGCCACAGATGTGATTTTTAAGAACAATGCCAGAAATATCATGGAAGGATAGAAAAATACATGAAGCAGTCATCGAGAAAGATGAAACTCATAAACTTATTAGAGCAATCAGAAGTAGACAGTCAGCGTTATTTTTTATTTTGGACATGTTATAAGAAGAAAAGGACTTGAGAACTTGGTAACAATTGACAAGATTGATGTAAAGGGAGCAAGAGAAAGACAGAGATAAATAAGTGAATGGCCTGCCCACAGTTTTGGGGCGAAACAAAAACATTGACCTAATCCATGATCCTGGTGATCGTAGAAAATGGCAAAACATGACAGCCTATGCTTGATGCAAATGATGATCATAACCCGATACAACAATGGCCCGACAAGAGCCCTTTACTCAAACTTTGTACTAACTGTAACCTGTAAGCCAAAATCAATGATAACAAGTCTGCCCCAGTGCAGACAAAACAAACCATCAACACCCAGACACTGTGCTACCACAACTCCTAATGTCAATGATGAATGAAAGATACGTATGCCACACGTGACATGACAGTTTACTGACAATTGTATTGGAGGGATCATCATCATCAACACCTTGTTGTGCCACTATACATCACAACAGCTCACCATCAAGTGCAACAATTTCAGTATTAAGGATGAAATTCAGCCCAGCATCTTTGGCCTTCTCTCAACAACATTCATCTTAAAGTTTCCCTTGGAGGTCATCGCTTCCCTAATCCAACTGTTTCCTATTGAGCTGTTTCTGCACAATTAGTGATTTTCTGCTTCACATGCCAAATATATCTTCTTCTTCTTTTTTTCCTATAACTGTAGATACAAGTGGTTATCCAGACATTTTTCTTATTTCTTTGCCTTTCTTGAATTCATCACATTTAATGTTCACCAATTACCTTCTGCATTTTTTCTGGAGAAAATAGCTGGGGGGAATTTAGATCATCAAGGTTTAGATGGTTAAGGAACATCAGGATATAAACTGGATACAGCCCAGCAGAATGCATAACCAAGAATCGAAACAGAGACAGTGATATACTACTGCAAGGTTTACCTATGAAACAGAGACAGTGATATACTACTGCAAGGTTTACCTATGGAACAGAGACAGTGATATACTACTGCAAGGTTTACCTATGAAACAGAGACAGTGATATACTACTGCAAGGTTTACCTATGGAAACAGAGACAGTGATATACTACTGCAAGGTTTACCTATGGAACAGAGACAGTGATATACTACTGCAAGGTTTACCTATGAAACAGAGACAGTGATATACTACTGCAAGGTTTACCTATGGAACAGAGACAGTGATATACTACTGCAAGGTTTACCTATGGAACTAGTTTATATGTAATTAAAAGCAAATCATCAATAAGCAACAAAAGTAAGCTAAACAAACATCCTAAACTCAACATCTCCAATCCCTAAAGTCAACATCTCCAACACCTATACATCCTCAATCCCTACAGTCAACATCTTCAACTCTTATATTCAACATCCCTAATGCCTACAGTCAACATCTCTAGCTCCTACATTTAACTGGTGTGGGAGAAGTGTGAAGATATTAGAATATACCATCTACCTGTAAAGAGATGTAAGGATATGCTATGTGCTTTCTAACCTGTTGTTTAAGTTTATCCTAATTTCTATTCCTGATGACATCATTCTACATTCTGCAAGGTCTTCCCCATTTTCTGCATTCATTATAATATTGCTTCAGCTTGGCTAACAGTGAAAATTTGGCTATCCTCCGACTAACGGTCGGCAAAGATAGCGGCCCCAAAATATCCTTTAGAGCCAGAGTCGCGTGTCAATTGCGCACTAGCAGTCACGAGCACACCGCGGCTGCTGCTCGTGGGTCCTAGCCATCTAGTTTAGCCCCATTCCACGCCGCGTGAGCAGCGTGGCGATGGCGATAGTCGCTGGAAAACCGTTGGAGAACCGCAAATTAAGTCATGCGACTCTGGCTCAAAAGGATATTTTGCGGCCGCCATCTTTGCTGACAGTTAGTCGGAGGATAGCCGAAAATTTTAACAGGGCAGATGACCAAACAATCTCATCTGTTGCTCTTTAATGAATTATATGACTGCCTTTAAGTTCTTGTGTTTTTCTAATTTCTTTCATTTATAATCAAACATAACTGCAGCCACACATTTCCCCAGGGCACAGTGTCTGTGAGCAACAACAGATAACCAAAAATCTTTTAATTGCAGAGCAGTAGCAGACTTGGGTGCACTACATACAAGAAATACAAAGATTTTAAAAATGTAATAAGGTAAAAGTAACTTCAGGACATGGCTTCAAAAGCTGACATCTTATGCGTGTACTAAGGGTCTGGTTCATACTTCGTCTTGGACTTTAGCAGACATCAGACAGGTTTGTTCTGTGATGTTGGACATGTTCTTTGTTACTCAAACCCCATAAATTTATATGTATCAATTCTGAAGTATTTACACACACACACAAAGCAGCTTGTTAATTTAAAAAAAAATGAAGAAATCAACTCATATTTATGATTGGTAAACTACTAAGTGTGAAAGAATTTTAATTTGAGAAGTATAAATATCAAACATGACTCAGAATCATCAGTCACTTCTTCTTCAGTCCGGTCAATTTCATGTTTAGGTACTTCGGCATCAGTGTTGCACACGAATATTACACAAATAAGTGATATCGAATGATTTATTCGGTAATTAGCAACACAATAATAACCTGCTTCAACGTTGGTCCAAACTCGACAAACTCTGGACTGTGTTTCAAGTCAAAAGATAACATGGGTAGTCTTGGCAGTGCCTCCATGTTTGTTGTAGGCTTGTTTTCTACATCGACATTTGTGTTACTAATAATACCATGACCCGGAAGTAATGTTAAAGTGGTCTCCCTTGGTTTGGTCCTCTTGTTTTCCCTCCATTATTAGACTGGACCGGATCGACTTGACCTCAACTTTGTAGTCCACTATCTAATGTATTTATGAGCAGTGGCGTAGCAAGGTCTCAGATGATACCCATTGTGGAAAAGTCATGTCAACTTCCTCTCCTCCCTCCACACACACACTCACACCACACATGTACGGACCAACTGGCAAGCATTGCCCGAACGCATGTGCGAAGAAGCAAGGACAGAGCAGATATTGTCAATGCTGTACGCATTGGGCTTATCTTATATGGAGTCATGAATGAAGACAGAAACAGAGAACACTGCGAATGCCAGGGCAAGATCAAGACAACAACTGAGATCCTTCTCGTATAGGCCTATGCTGTGTAGTGGAAACCGTCGACATATCACACGATGGAACAAACCACATGACTGACTTGAATAGAGCGACTACAATAGCAGATACCTTATGAAAATGAAACAGAGGACAGCAGCTAGTAGTAAAGATCATATAATCCGGCAATATAAAAACCATTTAACTAACCAATCAGCCCTACAAACAACACGTAGAAAACCTAGCTGGACAGACATGCAGTGTTGCCACTTTTCTTTGACAAAAAATATCCAAAACGGTGTCAAAAAATATCTAAAAAGATCTAAATCTGCGTGGAAAAGATCTCGAAAAACATCCAAATTGAAAAAGTCAAAAATTATATAGCTTTTGTTATGACTTACCCTACATAATCATGTCCTCACCTTCACTAATGTCTGCCTCACAAGATCCACAGGATAAACTTAGCTTGGATAATGAAGTTGAAGCTTCGGATCCAAAATGACCCTGGTATGCTTTAGCTGTTCAAATTTCTTTATAAGTGGAACAGTAGGCTTTAATAAGCCTTATTTCTCATCAGGCCGAATTTTAATGGCACGATAGCATTTAAGAGGTCAAATTTCATCCTGTTTTTTAGGTTAGATTTGATATAATTCCTAGCACTAAAAACTCTTTCTACGTCAGCATTTTAGTGGGGTAGTATCATGGTAGACATGGCACTTTAAATTGTCTCACTTCACTCCAAAAAGCTTTAGTTTCTGTTTTGTTTGTCCATTCAGCTAACTTTATTTTGGTTAACTGATATTCTGCTTCCGCGACACTATTATCAGTAGCCGCTAAAAATTTCATTACTTTACAATATTTAGGTATGTCCTTTATTGGCTGAAGTATGTTGCTCACAGAAAAAGTGAAATATTTTTCAATACATCTAGATTTTCAGGAAGTCTCTGCTTCAGTAGCTTGAATAACGATATTAGAAATCTTCATTGTTCTTTTCATTCTCTGTTACAGTCCTTTCGTTTTTAAATCATTAATTTTTGACTCGATTTGATATCCAGGGTATGGCTTAGGAGCCAAATAGCTCTATGCAGTGCAAGTGTGAAAATCAGCTTTAGAAGTTGGCAACACCAGTCGGCTCTCTTCCGAATAACGGTCCCAAATGAACTACGCAGACAGTTAACCCAAACAGAGCCTCGCAGCACAGACAGTTAACCCAAACAGAGCCTCACTCATATGTAAAATTCGCATTTCTTTTGCGGCGATTCAACCGTGTCAAAATTATGATTAACTGCGCACGACATTTTCGCAAAAGGCAACGGATTTTTTTACGGCGATTACACGACGGCAAAACTAGGATTAACTGCGGACGAAAAAAATTACCGACACGCGAGAATACTCCCGATAGCGCTATCCTACGGCAGGGCCCCAGTTATATGTAAGTTGCGGACCGCTTATCGCCGACTATAGTGCCACCTCTGAGAGTGTCCCACGCGCCGCTACGCGCGGCGCGGAGGAGACTAAACTAGATGTATAGGACTCACGAGCAGCAGCTACCGCAGCTTCCTCCAATGTATTTGCTCGTGAGTCCTAGCCATCTAGTTTAGCACCCTCCGCGCCGCGCGTAGCGGAAAAAAAATCAACAATTTACAGGAGCTACTTCTTCTGTCGGAAGTACCAGCGCCATCCTGGCGGCTGCTGGTTTAAAGTTGTCCTGAGGCGACATGCGCGTACATTAAACTGCGCATTACAGCTGATCATGTCTCCCCTGCAACGAGAATCGCGGACAAGCCGTGCTCAGTTGGAATGGCGGCAACTTCTGTGCCACAATTTTCACGTATAGAGGATTTCAATATCGGTAAGTAGTAGAATCCCCCCCCCTCCCCCCATTGTCCTCATACTTTTCGTTCCTTATATTTCTCGAATTACAGCTTTCAAATGTTTGTAGGGCAGGACGTAATGAGGCTCTGTTTGGGTTAACTGTCTGCGTAGTTCATTTGGGACCGTTGTTCGGAAGAGAGCCCACCAGTCTTTTACCAACAGAGTGAAGAAATAGCAAAGTGAAAACGTCAATTAATTTAACTTTATCAACATGTTTAGATTCGAACAGTTTATTAACTTTTTGCACTTCCATTAAAATATTTGTAAAAAAAAAAAAAAAAAAAGGAATGCCAATTTTTTTCATCACAGTACATTCCATATAGTATTTCAGCTGTATAGTACTTTTCACTTTGTCTTGTTATTTCAAAGTGTGTCTTCAGCTCCAACAATTGTTCACAATTCTTTAATCAGCTGTTTGAATTGATAACCATCTAATTTTGCAACCTGACAGAATTTTCAGGGATGTGTAACCCTCACTCAAGGCAATATATAATGTATTGTATTGCTGTTGTCTGAAAAATGATTTGGAAAACCAGGCATGTGTTTCAGCAATAAGGTATCCCAAATTCTTTGGTAAACATTCAGATGAAGCATGTGATAATGCTAGTTGCAATGAATGACACATACATTTTATAAGTATTAACGATTGGATAGCTTCCTTCAACTTGGCGTAAACGCCATTGTTTGTACCAACCATCACCGAGGCATTAACGGTACAGATTGCATCCAAATTCTTCAAGTCTAGTTGTTTGCTGATTAAAAGTGTCTTCAGTTCCTGATCTATACTTTTTGCATCACACTTTTCCAATTGAACTAGTACAAGACATGTAGAAACTACTTTTGTCTGTGGCAACACTGGTCCGTCTTGCGGTGTAATTTGCTTCCGGTATCGTCCGGACGGCCAGTTCATTCATTCATTCATTCAGTAGCATGTCCCTCGCGGAACCTCGCTGCCATAACAACCCTCCGGAAAACCTTCCTATCATGAGCAAGATGTCCTGCGTCTGATACACCCATCTGGAGATCATCTGCCACATCCTGCACCCATCTTCTCCTTGGCCTTCCTCTTCCTCTCTTCCCAGGCATATACCCCTCCATTATTGTTCTCTCTAGACTTCCATGACGTTTCAAGTGACTAAAATATTTCAATTTTCTTTGTTTTATTGTCTTTACTAGCCAACCTTCTTCAATATTCAGCTCTTGAAGTATGGATGCATTTGTTCTTTTCTTTACCCAAGATATTCTTAGAACTTGTCTGTAACATTTATATTCAAATGCATTTATGCGCTGTTCCGCTTGTTTAGTAAGTGTCCAGGTCTCACAGGCGTATGTTGCAATCGGAAAGATGCATGCTCTTAAAAATCTGACCTTTGTAATTCTATCTGTACAATTCCATAATTTATTCAGTTGTTTTAGTCTTTGAAGAGCAATTGATAGTCGCCGTTTAATTTCTTTCATTGTGTCACCATTGTTGGTAACCAGTGACCCAAGATATTCGAAATTTTCCACCACTTCCAATCTTTCCTCATTAACATATATTTCCTTCTCCATGGCAGTTTTGTTTGTATGCATTATCTTTGTTTTTGCGATGTTAAGAAATAAGTTATGATTTTCACTATTACTGGACGGCCAGTACTCCTTCCTTTTCTTTTTTTGCGTCCTTTTTGGGTGTCGAGGGAGATATAAGGTCCTGATTCGTGCTCTTCTGGCTGCTTTAACCATAGACACAGTGTAGTGCTGTAGAGTTTCTCTGATGTTACCTTCCCATCTTGTTCTTTGTCTGCCTATTGCTTTATGTCCTTCTAGTCTTTTGGTACATGCCTTGTCTGGTATAGCATCAGAAGGCATTCTCTCCAAGTGGGCAAACCATTTGATTTGCTGCCTGTGAGTGTAATTTAGAATTGGTTCTGTGCCGACCTTATGTCATACGACCTGATTTTATCTCTTCTTGTCACCTTATTTTCATGGTAACTAATTTTCTTTTATGTTTTCTGGTAATGTGTTTGTTGTGAGAGCCCACGCCTGCCACTGATAGCATAGGGTGGGAATGAATGTGCTTTGAATGAGATGTTTGTGCTGATAGCGATTGTCTTATTGTGTGTGTGCGGGGGGGGGGGGGGGGGGGGGGGGGGTAATAGTAGCTGCTGTCCCAATACTTGGCCTTATTGACTGCATCATATTTAGTTCCTTCGTCTAGGTTACCATCTTCAGTGAATGTTGTTCCAAGATATTTAATCTCTGATGCCTGTTTAATATATGCATGCTATAATGCCAAATTTAAATTCCGCTTCTTTCTTCCTATTGACATTACGTCTGTCTTTTCAGTGTTGATTCTTATATTGTTTAATTTACATTCTCCATTCATGGATGTGAGATGTTGCAACTTCATGGCTGTATCTGCTATCAAGGCCTGGTCATCTGCAAACAGTAATTCGTTGATGTTACTATTATTTTCGTTCCTGGGCCTGTCAGCCTTGATTTTACTGTCAATGAAGGTGATACATAGGAGTGGTGATAAGATACATCCCTGTCTTACTCTAAGTGTTACTTTGAATGGTTTAGATGTTCCCTGATTTATTCTAATTACGTTTCTACAATCGCTATAAAAGCTTTTGTAAACTTCCATGAGGTGTCCATCCATATAAAGCCATTACTTTCCATAGTTTTTGTCTATCGAACCTGCCGAAACCTTTCTCCTGGTCTACAAATCAATTCT